CCCGCGGGGAAGGTGGAGAGTAGATATCTTCTACTCCCATCTTGAGCAAATGTGAGTAAAAGCTTGGAGAAATTAATCCCTTAATTAAAAGATCCGCAATTTGCGAACCGCCATTGATATGTGCAGTGACTATACTCCCATCCTGAATCTTATCTTGCACAAGATGACAATCAAGCTCAATGTGCTTGGTTCTCTCTTGAAATAAGGGTTTGATGCTATATGAAGTGCAGCATTATTGTCACAGAACATAGTTGTTGGTTGCCAGAGCCGGTCCTGTGGTTTTCGGGGCCCGAGGCAAGCTTCATAAATTAGGCCCCCCAAAATCAAACGAAAATGCAAAATTCAATATAACCTAATAACCTATTGCTAACTTAAAACTTCGAGGTAAAACAACAATCATATAAGCTGACCAGGCTACAATATATTCAATGATAAGTTAGAGCAAGTCATTACTTACCTGAGACGTAGAATTTCGACTAAAATTATGGAATCACACAATGCCCACCTTGAAAATTCCACCATCACAATTTACAAGCCTGAAATAAAAATTTAACATCAAACACCAATACAAACATACAATGACCTAATGAAATGCCAATTTATTGCTCAATGAAATGCCAACGACCTAACCTTTCTTAGGGATGCAGCGTATGCTTCACAGACTTAGCTCGTTGATGATTAAAAATTGGATAATCTAACACCTTTTCTCTTATCTAATAATCAATTTTTCTACCAACACACTTTGAATTCTTCCTTCTTATCACCAACTACTGAAACCATATAAGCAATTTGAAAATACAATTCGAAGTTACAAAAGAAATACTAGAAACTTACATCAGGTGGGGTAGTGAACTTGGGAGACCGTCGGTCCCGCGTAGGCTTGAAGGAACAGATCTAGGAGACCGATCAACTGAAAAGCGAGAACTTAGCTGTAGTGGAGATGGTGAATCAACTTCAGATTTAGAAATTCCCCTGCTGGGCTTGCTCACCCGAGGAGTAGCTGGTGATGCCTTTTTGTTGGGAGTCTCAGATAAAGAAGAGTGAAGACCTATGAAAATGAGAAAATCGTAACTAGTCTGCCCAAAATAAATCAAAGCCCATAGATCATATCTACAAAAACATCCAGTGCCGTGATATATTACGAAATTGCTACTGAAAAGTTAGGGATTGAGTGAAATAACATAAAAATTCAAGAATTAAGGCAGTAAGGCATAAAACTTTGAAAATTCGAACCCCATCAACAAGAAAAAATAGGCCAAAAAGCGGGAGATAGACAAAACAAAAAAAGCCCAAGAAAACCTGAGATGAGATTCACTTACCTGGATTTGGTAGACATGGTTGGAAAGAAAGTTGGAAGATGAGTGCCGCAATGGCCGTCACCGGTCCGGTGGAGCGGAGAGGTGAGAGGCGATGAAAATGAGGCCCCTTGGGGTTTCTTCCTTCGATTGATTTGAGAAAAAAAAAAGGGCCCAAGGAAATGAGGCCCCCTTGGGTCTTGGGCCTGAGGTGCAGGCCTCAACCGCCTCGCCTCAGGACCGGCCTTGCTGGTTGCCGGTGTTTGATGCAAATCACTAAATAAATATCTCATCCATGTTAGTTCAAAACACAAATTTTCCGTTGCTCAGTATTCTGCTTCTGCAGAAGATCAAGACACAACCCCCTGCCTTTTAAATTTCCAAGATACCAATAAAGATCCAATAAATACACAATAACCAGAAACCGATCTCCTTGTATCTTAGCATGCTTCCCAATCTGAATCACAATATCCTGTTAATTGTAGGTTCGTTTGAGATGGATAAAGCAAAACCTGCCCTGGAGCCTTTTTGACGTATCTTAAGACTTTGTGAGCTGCATTGGTAATCTGGGGCTGTCCATAAACTGATTTAGCAACTGTAACGAGTAAGACAAGTTAGGCCTAGTTATGGTTAAATAGAGCAACCTTCCAATCAGTCTTCGATAAATCGATGGATCAGAAAGAAGCTCACCTTTGTCCTTAGAAAGCTTGAGATTTTGATCAATTGAGACTCGAGCTGGTGTTGCTCCAATCTTACCTGAATCTGCCAAAATATCAATTGCATATTTTCTTTGACATATATGAATGCCTTGGTCAAACCTTGCCACTTCAATTCCAAGAAAGTATTTCAATTGTCCCAAGTCCTTGATTTTGAACTTATCATGAAGAGAAGCTTTGAGAGTATTAATGGAATTCATACAGCTGCTGGCCACTATAATATCATCAACATACACCAAAATGGCAGTAAAAGAATGCTTTGTGGTCCTTGTGAATAAGCTGTAATCTGCTGTAGATTGTGCGAAACCTAGCTCAATAATAAAATTGGACAGCTTAGAGTACCACTGTCTAAAGGTCTGTTTGAGCCCATATAAACTCTTCTTTAACTTGCAAACTTTGGATGCATTGTCATTGAGATAGCCGGGGGGTAATTGCATGTACATATCTTCCTCTAAATCTCCATGTAAAAAGGCATTGTTTACATCAAATTGGTACAAATGCCACCTCTTTATGGCTGCCACAGCTAAGAGAGTTCTCACAGTAACAAGTTTTGCCACAGGAAAAAAAGTCTCATGGTAGTCAAGACCTTCCTGTTGTGTGTATCCCTTAGCCACCAACCTGGCTTTGTACCTCTCTATAGTTCTATTAGCATTAAACGTAATCTTATAAACCCACTTACATCCTATGGCTTCTTTACCAGAGGGCAGATCGCTGACAACCCAAGTATCATTTAATTCAAGAGCATTTATTTCAGCTTTCATTGCATTACGCCACTCAGGTGAATCCATTGCTTCATCGAAGTTTCTAGGTTCTTTGTGTGTGTTAATGGAAACAATAAAGGCTTTGTGCTTTGAAGTGAGTTTATGGTAAGATAAAGTGGTCTCAAGGGAAAAAGGATTACCTGGAGTCATAATAACCTTCTATTTGTCCAATTCATGTGAATGGGGAAGCAAAGCTGCCTGTTGACAAATAAAGTCTTGCAAGTGTTTTGGAGGTCTCTTAATTCTACTGGACCTTCCAGGTAAGAGTTGGGTTTCCGGTGACTGATTCGTAGATTCTAAAAAATGTGTGGGTTCACATAACTCAATATTGGTATATGGTGATGATGCAAGAGGGTTGGATGTTTCTATAGATGATGAAGGTTCAATTGTCTCGGTTTGTTCACAAGTTTTAGCAAATCTAATATCATTTGGATTGTTTGTTTCGGATTCTGAAGTAGTGATAATGGGTGTTTGAAAAACATGAGTTTGAATAGGATTTTGGATCCAGTCAACATTAGCATCTGTAGTGTTAAGATCTTGTTTGTATGGGAATACATTCTCGTGAAAGATTACATTCCTAGATATGAAAACCCTCTTCATTTCTAAATCCATCAGTTTATAACGCTCGATCCCAAAAGGGTATCCCAAAAAAAAAAATGCACTTCCTAGCTCTAGAATCAAACTTATGTCTCCCATTTGTTAGAGTTGTCACAAAAGCAAGACATCCAAAAATTCTAAGATTATCATACTTAGGTTTCAACTTAAAAAGAATTTCAAAGGGTATTTTGTGGTTCAAGAGAGGTGTTGGAGTCCTATTTATAAGGTACATTGCTGTGAATACACAGTCTGATGCAGCACCAACGGGACAATTAATTGAGAAATAGAACAGATCTATAGGGAGAAGAAATTAAAGAGAAGAATGGGGAATTAAGGGGAGGGGGGGAGAAGAAGAATTTAACAGAAGATGGCAGAATAAGGGGAGGGATGCGTCATAAGCCACCAAAATAATTATTCATTCATCATCAACTGAAAATCACAATGCAAAATAGGTTTAAATAGTAAAGCAACCCTAACGAGATTGGGCCCGAGCCCATACAAGTCCAAATTTTAAATAATAGTCCAAAAGATAAATAAAGCATAAATAAAATAAGTAAACGTCCGATGTCATGTCTGATGTCCTCATCAACTCTCCCGGGGTGGGAGAAAACTCGACCCTATCGAGTGGATATATCACTATAGACTGTCATCAATCTCCCAACCATAAACTGAATGGTTGGGTAAGCTTCTTCCGACGTCTGTAAAAATGTGTCGGTGGAGGTCTGAACCTGTTGTCCTCACCAACTCCCCTTGGGTGAATGGGAGGCTTTCTAGGCCAAGGAAGATCCTGCTGACTTCGATAAAACTCCAATAAATCTGGATCCAATTGCTGTAGTGTCGCTCTGGAGATCCATGTACAATCAGAATTTGGTCGACCAACCCAACGAATGAGGAAGCGCTGAACCTCTCCATCATTAGTAAACACAGTTTCTTCATCTAAAATAGCATCAATTTTATCTGTGTCTGTTGTGAGAGGTGGTAGTGGGTTAGAAGTGGCCAAATAGTCAGGATCAAGGTCCAC